GGTGTTGGAAGTGGGCAGCTCCTGCCCATGTGTTCCCAGTGAGGCACGGCTGAGCAGGGACACCCAGAAGACACTGGGCTATGGCTGGTATGTCTGTACCTATCCCTGGCCTCCTTCCCTCTACCTCCTGGACAAGTGGGGGAGTGACCTCTTTCCTAGCCTTGATTGGATGGTGCCGTGGTCACACCCAACATCAGCCAAGGAACAATGGGCAGCACCCAGCCTGTTTATCTTGGCACTGTCACCAGCTGGCTCTTGGCATGACCGTGAGGTCAGGGTGGGGAGAAAGGAGACGGCATGGGCTGCTTGTCTGAGCACCTGAGCATATGTATCCTTCCCACCTGGAGCAAGTAGAGAAAGTTCTAGTGATGTGGACGGACTCCCGCAGCTGGTGCATCCCACTGTGGACAGCCATTTGGAAGTGAAAGCTGGGCTCCAAACACCTGGGAAACCAAAGCATAACCCTCCCCCACCACGAGGATTAATCCTGAGACTACCAGCCAGATGTGATAGGCTTCCCTGGTGGTCATCTGCTTGTGGTGGCTCATGGTGAAGCATCTGCTTGCCATGCAGAAGACCTGGGTTCGATCCCTGAGTCGAGATGATCTCCTGGAAAAGGAAATGGCAACCCACTCCAATATTCTTGCCTGGAAAACCCCATGGACAGAGGAGTTCATGGGGTTTCAAAGAGTCGGACCCAACCGAGGGGCTAACACAGTCCAGCCAGGTCTGAGGAAGGGACTGGCAGATATTTCTGAGAACCTTGCAGTGTTCACACCTCTTTCTTTCTCACTCTTTGGGTTCCTCTCAACCCTCGGTTGTCTGATGGGGTCCATCTCAGGGCTGGAGCAGAGGCCCCAGGGGAGGCAATGAGGATGTCTTTACCTTCTGGGGGACACTGAAGGGAGCCCAGGGATGCTGGCTCAGCCTAGGTGCTCAAGGAGGAAGGAAGTCCGAGGCTGAGCACCCGCCTTTGCATTGTGAAAGCTGAGCTGGTGATGGTTCTGGCTGAGCTGCTGGCTACTGGACCTCCCCAGAGTGGGCCCCAGAAGCTGACATGAATTGATGGAGGCCGGCTGGAAGCCTGCAGGAAACTAGGGCAACTCCATCCCCAGAGGTTTGGTGGGAGCCTCCAGCTGCTGGCTCTTCCACTCCTCCTTTTCTGCTCCTCAGCCTCCCATCCTGGGGAGCTTCCACCCATGCCCCCCACCCCCTCCAATGCCTTATTTATTTGTTTTTCAGGCTTATAAAAGGCTTTATTGATGCATAATTCACATACCGTACAATTCCGTTTTCCCAGGTGGCACTAGTGGTAAAGAATGCACCTGCCAATGCGGGAGATGCAAGAGATGAGGTTTCTATCCCTGGGTTGGAAAGATCCCCTGGAGGAGGAAATGGCAACCCACTCCAGTATTCTTCCTGGGAGAATCCCATGGACAGAGGAGCCTGGTGAGCTACAGTCCATGGTGTCGCTAAGAGTCAGACACGACCGAGCGACCGAGCATGAACACCATACAGGTCACTCATTTGAAGTGTTCATTCATACATGTGCAGCCATGACCACTGTTGATTTGAGAACATTTTTGAGGCTTTGAGAAGAAATCCGCCATCCCCAAGCTATCTTCCTCATTCATCAACAAACCGTCCAAGTGCCTCCACTGAGGGGAGTGATGCAGAGGCTTCGGGTATCTTTAAAACTAGATTGAAAGACAGACCTAGAAAGGGCAGTGCTCTGTGGCTCGAGTCTGGTAGCTTGAACAATGTGCTGTGAAAATCCCATGGTTTTGATGATTGCTTACTCTTTGTTTTATTTGGCTGGGGCCACATGCCTCTGAGGCCACGCCAGCCATTCGTGAAAGGTGGTTTTCAGGTCCTCGCTGGAGCTGCCCCACTGCGTGACCTGGTTTAGAACCGGGTGGGGGTGGCCCTGGGTGCGTTGGCCTCTGAGGCAGCAGAGGAAGCCAGAATTCACTTTTCCCTACCGCGTTCCCACAGGACATGTCCTCTGAGTGGCTCCCCCAGTCCCTTAGAACACTGTGGAACATAGCAATGCACTTTACAGTTGATTATCGTTAATTAATGAACCATACAACCCCACCCCTGCAGGAACCACCCAGACATTCTACACGTCTCCCTGGTGTGGACGCATGCACCCCCCCACACACACACGTGCACCCACACACACAGACGTGGTGCCACGGGCAGCACACACGTGTAAGAGCCAGCACAAGCCAGAGAGCTCCCTGGTGGGAACGGGGGCAGCTGCTGCCCGTGAAGTCTGGGACCATCTGTTCTTCCTGTCCGTCCAGAGAGGCCTCCAGTGGGGCCTCCCTCCCCCGCAGGGCCCAGCTCAGCTAACCAGATGGAAGGTCTGATTTGCACAAAGAAGGCCTCTTTCAGAGTCCGCGCCTTTGGAAAACACCCAGAGACTGAGACAGTCTGGGGAGAGAGGTCAGGGCTGCTCACCATAGAGTGGAGGAGAGCTTTTCCCCGTGGGGCTGCCGGGTATCTGCTCTTCCTCCCTGCCCTGGGGCTCCTGCCCTCATCCCACCCGGGCTCCTAACTGCGTGTGACCCCATGGGAGAGCTGAGGGGTGACCCAGCAGAGGGACTGTGAGGTGGCCAGTGGGCTGGGATAGGAGGGCCAGGACGGCTTGCAGTGCCTTGAGACTGAAGGGAAGCCGCCTCACCCGCTACGAGTGTGGCCCTCGGCATATCCCTGACCTTGGACATCACCCCCTGCCAAGAGCCCCTTACAGTATGCCATGTCATCCTGTGAGCTCACTCCCTGGGGGACAGACTGATCCAGCCTGGTGTCCTGTTTCTTAGGCACCCCCAGCTATGCCCCAGCTGGCTGGCCTTTCCCTTCATCATCACCCCAGGGAACAGGCACCCAAGACTGAAAAGGCTGCAGGACCTGGGGACCTCTGGGAAGCGTGGACCTGAGAACAGGCGGGTCCCTGCTCTGCCCAGGTCGAGTGGCCAGCAAACTGCTCTTCCACTGAGCCCCTGCCCCAGGATCCAGAGCCAGACCTGGGCAGGACGGACGGCTGGTGATGGCAGAGCCTGTTACAGGGGAAGAGGGCTGACCTGGTGCCTCCCGAGGCTGGCGTGATCCTCCTCAACTCCCAGGTCTGCTCCTGAGCGCTGATTATCATCAACAGAGGGTTTTCCTTCTGACCACGGAGACTGGTTTCCTTGAGCCAGTCTGCTTTGTCACCTTGGCTTTGAGCAGTGTGTGAATGTCAGGAAGGAGGTGGCTATCACATCCTTGTTCCTCTCTTCCTGATACTGGAGACAGTTTGGGGAGATGGCCCTGAACTCAGCCTTGGGTTCTTGGCTTCTTAAAGTGTATCAGGCTGCGATTTTGACTCTTGATTCCAGCATCTCTCTACCAGTGATCATTGGGGTGACCTTAGACAAGTCACATTACCTCTTTGGGCTGCAGGGAGTTTGGGAGGGGTCCCATAACAGGAGTGGCTCTTGGACAAGACTTAGGGTCTTGATTTCTTTTGGGATTAGCCATTTTCCACTGATGACATGATGGGTATGAAGTGGTACTACCTCCTGGAAAAAGAGAAAAATCTATCATACAGTACCAGCACCTGCTATGTGCCTGGCATCGTGCTAAGCACTTTCGTTGCTCTAGTTTGTTTGAATCTCAAATTCCTCTGAGGCAGAGGATCCCCACTCCCACCCTGTAGGGGAGGAAAAGTGTCAGTCACTCAGTCAGGTCCAACTGTTTAGAACCCTATGGACTGTAGCCTGCCAGGCTCCTCTGTCCATGGAATTCTCCAGGCAAGAATGCTGGAGTGAGTTTCCATTCCCTTCTCCAGGGGATCTTCCTGATCCAGGGTTCAAACCCAGGTTTCCTGGATTGCAGGCATATCCTTTACCATCTGAGCCACTGGAGGCCCAGAAGTTAAATGATGTTCCTGAGGCATGTGTGGGTGCAAAGACTGTTCTTGACCATGAGGCTTGACAGCCCCTTGCAGTTTAGTCTTTGATCTTTGGAGCTGGAAGGTATCTTAAAGACAGGCCTGCATGACTGATTCACAAGTGGGGAGCTGAGAGTGGAGGGGTAGGGTGGGGCCTGCAGTCCTAGGGTGGGTCCTGGAACTCAGGACCCTCTTGTCCCCACGAACCCTTAGGGTGCCTCCCCCGGGAATCGTCTGGCTCCAGAGCTGAGAATGCGCCCTTTGTGCCAGCACAATCTCTGATGATCTGCTCTGAAAGCCCCGATTGTCACTGTGAGTGTGGAGCCGGGCTGCCCACACTCCCGCCCCGTCCCTTCCCGCTGTGGGGCCTTTTGTGCTTCTGGATCTCGGCACAACAGCCGGGCTGTTGATCCCGAAGGCCCAGCGTGACTGGGAGAGGGTGGCCTACCAGCACCCTTCCCAGTGGGGATTGTCCCAGTCCGAGAGGGAGGTGGGCCCTGTTGTCTGGGCCAGAGCACTGCAGCGACAGAGACCCAGAGGGAAGTCAGGACACCTGGTTTCCAGTCCTGGCTGGGCCCCTAACCAGAGCTGACACCTGCTCGGTGACCTGGGAAGAGTCAATCTCCCTCTCTGGGCCTCTTCATCTGTAAAAGACAAGCTTATATAGGAAAGAAGAGTGGCGAGGGGGCTGGAGGGCAAAGGGAAGGTTCCAGTGCAGGCCTGTCTTTAGCAGTAGAAGGAGCACCTGGGCAGCCAAGCCCCAGCCCTGGCCTGGTTCCTTCGGAACGGTGTCCCCCAGGCAGGGCCTCACCCTCTTGGGGCCTGGGTTGTCTGATCTGTAAAGGAAGGGGGTGCATCATTCCTGCCTCTGATGGGCACTGGGGACATGGAGAAGGTGCTTGTGCAGGGAGGTCGTGGGGGGAATGGAGGTGCTCTGCAGGTTGTTTCGGGGAGGCTACCTGGGCAGGTGGACTCTCTGGTTCAATCCTGACTTCTGGGAAATCTTGGGTTGGACCCTGGGGTTGTGTGCTCTTCCTCCTTTATAATTTCTCCATCTACATAGACCATCGACTTTCTGAATGACAATATTCGAAGAGGAATTGAGAACTACTATGATGATCTGGACTTCAAAAACATCATGGACTTTGTTCAGAAGGAGGTGAGTCAGGTGCTTGGGCCTCCCACATCCTTTGCTCTGCTCCTGCCCCCCTACCCCCAACTTGGGACCCTGCTCAAGAGGGTGGGGGTGAGGGGTCAGGTGGCTTATCCATCCCCACGTGGCTGGCCAAGTTGGGAGTTGAGGGTGGGCCATGGACAGCCGCCAAGGGTGGGGATGCCAGGGCATGCCTGGCCCAGAATATACTTGCCCTGCCTATTCCTTTCCAGTTACACAAACCCTCCCCTTCTGAAAAAAAAAGAACAAGGTCAGAGGGAGCTACAAACCACGTGGCAGAGTCTCAGGGTGCCCCTCTTCAGTGGGCAAAGAATCTTCTTTGAGGTGGGAGCAACCTCCAAGCCACCCAATTCAAAGTTCCCTCTGCCGAGACCCTTCAGGGACAGGGAGCTCACTCCCTTGCCAAATCAAGGACAGCCCTGATGGGGAGAGAGCTCTTCCCGGTTCCATTTCCCCCTGCACTGGGAAATAGAGCAAGTCTTCTCCTTTTCTCCGACGGCACTTTTTTGAATGTGATGATTGTCATCCCTCCTTCCCACGGCCCACCCAAGTCTGCGGGTGTAACAGTAACAGCAGTGCCTGCTGCTGCCCTCGGGGGCTTCTACGCACCCATCTCACTTAGTCCTGAGCCTCAGGTTCCACACCTGCCCCAGCGGGATACTGGTGGTCCCTTCTACTTAGTGTCGCTGTGAGATTTGCCTGGATTTATTTCAGAGGTGGTTAGAGCAGGGCCAGGCATGTGGTGAGACTCAGTCAGCGTCAGCTGGGGTGATCATTGTCTGTCTGTCCTCCTAGGTGAGGATGAGTAGAGTTTTAGAGCTGAGGGCCTCCTCAGCCGTGGCAGCGCTTTTTGGGACATGACCTTGGGGGCGTCAGCTGACCTGATCCCCGTGATAGCCCTCAGTGGGAGACCAACATCTCCCCGCACCCGGGGCCATCCATAGTGGCCACTCCCTTGGCTCAGGCCTTCTCTGTAGTCATAACAGGTGCAGCCTCTGGGAGGCCGTTCTCTGCCAGGGATGCGCCTGCCAGCTCTGGCCATCGGGTGGGGCGAGATGTTTTTATTGGAACCAACCTTCTGCTGGCTTGTGAATTTCAATTCTCCCAGGGTGGAATGGCGGGATGACTCATGCTCGCTGGGCACCTGCTTGGGGCCAGGTCCTGTGCGGAGTGCTTCCGCTTGGCTTATCTTTGTCCTTCTCAGCTCAGCTGTGCAAGGCTCGCATTGCTCTTCCTGCTTTATAGTTGGGCCTCTGAGGCCCAGAGGGGCTGATTGACTTGCCCAGAGTCACACAGCATGGAGTGGTGGTATGAGGATTTGAACGCTGGCCTGTCGGATGGCAAAGTAAATGCTCTTTGCATTGCACCCACAGAGGCACTTCCTGGTCCCCTAGACTGATAGCCTGAAAGGCTCTATGGAGACTCTGGAAGGGCATCTGCTTTGTTTCTACTAGAACCTCTGACCATATCACTCCCCTGGCTAAACCCTCCAGTAACTTCCTGTCACTAAGGATACTATGCCCATTCCCTGCTTATTCTGGCTGACAAAGCTTTCATGGTTTGACCTCAACCCGTCTGTTCTTGCTCACTCTGCTCCAGGTACGCCTGCTGCTGAAATATCGATACAATGAACTCATCTCCGTGTGGGGTCTTGGCATGTCTTGACTGGTTTTTTCCTGTTGTTCATATTTCTGATTGAATGAGATCTCCTCAGGCCTTTCCCGACCTCCTGCCTCCTTCCCCCGCTTGCCGTATCCCTGGTACCCAGCTCTCCCTCAAGCCCTTTTCACGTGATGCTTCCTCTCCATCTCCCCCAGGGCTGTGGCGCTCTCCCTCCCCCTTGGTTTTCGGGCACACAGAGCAATGCCCAGCACACAGCAGAGCCCAGTGGAGTAACTGCTTCCCCCGGGCACTGGCATCTGTACGGGGGACATGCAGGGCGGAGCTCGGCCAAGGGGAAAATGACGCCAGCTGTGCCATCACTTCAGTCCTGAGCCCCAGCCAGGGTGTGTGTGTGTGTGCCCCTTTGCAAGGGTGGGGCAGGCAGAGCGGGGTGGTGAGGAGGTCAGCGTGGTTCAGGGGCCCCTGGATTGAGGGGCTCCCCTAGAATCCTAGTCTCTTGGGCTTTAAAGGCCAGGTCCTGGGGTGGGAGCACCTGCACTGGGGATGTGAAGATGGAGTCTGGTTGGCAAGGACCACCCACTATCCCACCAAAAGGCTACCCAGCCTTGGCTTCCACGCCTCCCCAGTGACGGGGTGCTCATTACCTCCTGAGTCACTGTTCTGCTTTTGTGGAGCTCTGACCTGTAACGATGCCTCACATGCTCCCCATAATGCTCCCTACCTGGGTGATCCGCATCATAAATCATGTCGTCCCCCGGCCGGGTCCCTCTCTGCTGTCTGCCCCGGGGGCCTTGGTGGTGACGGCAGCTCTCTTCCCCACTTGCTTTCTCCCTCAGTTTAAGTGCTGTGGCGGGGAAGACTACCGAGATTGGAGCAAAAACCAGTACCACGACTGCAGTGCCCCTGGACCCCTGGCCTGTGGGGTGCCCTACACCTGCTGCTTCAGAAACACGGTACCCACTGCTCCTGGGGCCTCCTGGCTGGTCAAACGCTTCTCTCGCCTTTCAGGACAGGGGCGGTGGGGCTGGGTAGAGGGGTGGGCAGGAGGTGGTGGTCCTTGCCGAGGCTTCCTAAGTCTCAAGGGCTACTGAACGGGGTGAATCTGGGAGTAGAGGATGGGGAAGACTTGTCTTATTAGTAATGGTTGTTGATATCTATTGAGCACTTACCACGTGGTGGCCTGTTCTAGGTTCTTTAGTTGTTTTAACTTGTTAAGTCCTTTCAACACCCTGTGAGGTAGGTATGGTTATTTTACCCACTATACAGATGAGAAAACTGAGGCACCAAAAGGTGAGGTTCTTGACTCAAGGTTGATAGAGCTAGGATGAAATTCAGGCAGTTGTTGTCAGAGCTGAGCCCTGGACTACTGTGCACGCCAGGCGAAGAGTGGGAGAGAGTCCAGGCCGGGGGGGCTGAGCAGGGTGGCCGGCTTGGCAGCCATAGCCGGGGGCCAGGGCAGGACCTGCACTTTGAACGTGGCTGGTGGACTTTGGGCTTGACGTCCTGGTGACCATCAGCAACGAGGCGCTTGGAAGCGGCCTAGTGATGTAAATGCCAGCCTCTGCCTCTCCCGAGAGGGGTCCTCTGAGCTCTGTTACCCGCTTGGCCACTTGGGAGGCTGCCCTGCACCGTCACTGCTAATAAATGAGAGGCTCGGTCAATCCTGTGTTTGACTAATGTGTCCAAAAGCTGCCTGGTTTCTGGCTTGGAGTGAGGCGGGGAGTTTTGCAATTACTCATGCCTTGAAGAGTCATGGAAAATTTCTCTTCTGACGTCTCCACCACTCGGTGCCCACTGCTGGACTCTGTAAACTGAGCAGCTGCTGGTGGGGGTGGGGCCTCACCCATGACTCAGGGAGCCAGTGCCAAGGGCATGAGCGCTAAAAAGGCTGGGCCAGGAGGGCAGGTTTGTTTGGAAGTTGGAGCTGCCATTTTCGGGTAGCTGTTTGTGCAGGGGGAGTGCTGAGGAGGAGCCTGGGGTTTTCAGAGAGGCCTGGGGGGAGCGGCGGGTGGGGGTGACCCTCAACTTTGTCATCCAAGGCAGTGGCACCTGAAATGTCCAAGTTGAGATGTGAAAACCCAACGTGCATTCATTCATTCATTCAACAGGTATTTACTGAGGACCAGCCAGATGCAGTTCTATGTTCTAAGGATACAGGAAACACACAGAGAACTCTCTGCCCACATGGAGCTGACATTCTTTCTAGTGGAGAAAACTAATAAGCAAAACAAATAAGTAAAACAGATAATATTCTAAGAGATGATAAATTCTAAGGAGAAAAATAAAGCAGGGGCATGGAGGGTTGCATTTTAGATACTGAGAAGGTTGGTTCTCAGTAAAACCCTGAAAGAAGTGAGGGAGTAAGCCATGCTATCTGGGGATGGGAATTCCTGGCAGAGAGGAGAGCAAGTGCAAAGGCCCTGAGGTGGGACCTTCCCTTGTGAATTTAAGAAACAGCACACACACACAAAAAAAAAAAAAAAAAAAAGAAACAGCACAGAGACCAGCTCCAGTGTGGCTGGAGCAGAGTGAGCTTGGGGGAGGATAGTTGTAGATGAAGTCAGAGGTCATGGGTACCCTTTGGTTCCCTTGAGTGACAAGTCAAGTGACAGGGCTTTAGTGGACAAGTAGCAGATCTTCCTTAGGCTTCACCAGCACCACCCTGTCTGCTGTGGTGGCAGAGGTGACATGGGCAGTCTGGTTAGGGGCTAGTGCAGTGATCCCAGTGTCTCAGCCAAGGCTGTCTGGAAAGTGGGCTCTGAGATACTGGTTAGTGAGCAGGAAGCTTAGTAGGAGGTGTGCTCAGAATCGACACCTGTAAGGGAGGGGATAGAAGCTGGGCTGGGCAGAGGGAGAGGTTGAGCAATGATGCAGTCTCAGTGGGGTCCTCAGCCGAATTCACGGGAATGTCCTGGGATGATCCTGCAGAGTTGTCCCATATTGGGGTGAGATGGGCAGGCCTTCATACCTTCACATTCAGCAGGCATTATATCTTGAGTTTAGTGTTTCACCCAGGAAGGGACTTGCTGACTTGTTTAGCAGAAAAACAAAATCAATAGGATGTGTGTGTGTGTGTGTAAAGAGATTTATTATAAGAAATTGATTCACAGAATTATGGAGACAGGCAAGTCCCAAGATCTGCAGAGTTAGCCAACAAGCAGGAGCCCCAGGAGAGCCAATGGTTTACTTCCAGCCTGAGTCCACAGGCCTAAGAACCAGGAAAGCTGATGATGTAGTTCCTGTTTGAGGCTGGCAGCCTCAAGGCCCAGGAAGAGCTCATATTTCAGTTCAGGTTTGAAATCAGACAGGAAGAATCTTTCCTTACTTGGGGGAAGGGTAGCCTTTTTGTTCTATTAAGGCCTTCAACTGATTGGATGAGGCCCACCCACATTAGGGAGAGCAATCTGCTTTACTCGGCCTACTGATTTTAATGTTAATTTCATTTTAAAAAATGCCCAGGATAATGTTTGCCTACATATCTACATCAATTCCCCTCCACCTCTGGGGCCTAGAGAAGAGTTTTTTGGCTCCAGGTGTAAGGGAGGCCTCTGCCATAACATGTCTGTTCCCCAAGGGCAGGAGCTGTGGTTCTGCCTCCAGGTCTGGAAGCAGCACAATGAAGAGTAAAGTTATTCTTGTCACCTTCTTACGTATTATACAGTTTACTTATTTATTACGTTCATTGCCTATCTCCCTTCCTAGAATAAAAGTTCCATGAAGTCAAGGGTCTTATTTTGTTCTTTTGTAGAACAGAGAATGGTACATAACTGATGCTCAATATCTGTTCAGTAATGATTGAATGAGTGAACAAATAAGGTAGGAAGCACCTGATCCCATCATGCCCTCATACATCTATTACCCAGGCTTGACCTTCTCCACTGGGGTCATGTTCATGGCCTGGAGGGGCCATTGATACTGACTGACGTGAGGTGGATCCTGGGTGTTTTGGAGTCTGAGGGTTCCTGGGGGACAGCCTAGACTGAAGGAGGTTATTTTGCCCACACATCAAGCCTTGACATTTAGACTGATCTAGATGATGTCTGAGGTTCAACCCATGCTTTTTGAAAGAGTAACAGCCCTCCTTGCCTTCCAGGGTCTGGGTTCAAGGTCAGTCCAGCCAGCGTGCCCTGCCCTTGGACAATCATTTTATGTATATATCTCACTTTATATTCAAAACATCCCCATGGGGTACATTCAGAGATTATGACTGCTTTATTGAAGAGTCCAGGGAACCCACCCATTCATTCATTCAACAAATCCTTATTGAGTGCCTCCATATGCCTGCCCCTCAGCGCCACACCTCAGATTGGTCAGAGCTCCGAGGTGGCAGAGCAGGGCCTGGACTGGTCAACGTGATGCCAGAGCCCACACTGGCCACTCTGCGCTCCTCCATCCCTGCTGGCTCTGGTGGCACTCTGATCCCACTGTAGCTGTCACTTAGATGTGGACGGGTAGGACATTGAGCTCTCTCTCACCTTCTAGAAAGCAGAGGAGACTCCACAAGGGCTCAGGCTGTGATGGGAAGGGCCCCTGCCAGCCCTGTGACCTAGGTTAGCTGGGAAGAGATTTGATGAGCCCAGGGCCAACCACAATTTCCACCGTGCCCAGATTAGTCAGCAGCTGGAAGCTCCTGAAGGCAGCTCTCTTCCCGGGCAGGAGGTTGAGCAGCCTTACTGGCGGGTGGCAGTCTGCAGGGGCCGGGAAGTGTGGTCAGAGGCCTGGCCTTGCCCTCAGGTAAACCCCAGCTGGCCAGGGGCCTGGCTGTGGTCTGGGATTTTCTTTCACAAGAGCCAACAGACTGGGAGCAGCCCAGTCCTGACCTCAGCACATGACCATCTCAGCAAAGTGAGGCTCTGGCAATGCAACAGAAGAGCATGGGGCTGTGCCCTTTCCTCTGGGCTCCTAGGCTGCCACTGGTGGAGCAGTGGGTCTCCCACCCAAGAGCCACAGAACTGGTCTTCCCACCTTTTTCCCCTGGGCATTTCTTGGATCCAGAAGATGCAGACTTGAACCAGGCAGCTGGGATGGGAATCTCAGCTCCATTCATACTGGATGGTGCAACTCTCTATGCCTCAGTTTTTTCATCTGTAAAATGGGGGAGGGGGGGTTGCTAAATAAGTGTCTTCTGCAGTAATCACCATATAAGTGTTAGCTAATACACATTTCTGTTTCAGACAGAAGTTGTCAACACCATGTGTGGCTACAAAACTATCGACAAGGAGGTAATATCTTTGAAATCTCTTTTCCCCAGAAAGGCTGCTCTTCCTGTTCCATCCCCAGGGTGATCAGAGGGGCTTCCAGGGATGAGGCTCCTGGCTGTTGAGATCTCCCAACATTCCTGGCTGTGAACAGGAGCCAGGGACTGCCCACGTTTTTTGCCCCTATCTAGACACAGAAGGCAGCCCACTCCGGTACTCTTGCCTGGGAAATCCCATGGACGGAGGAGCCTGGTGGGCTGCAGTCCATGGGGTTGCTAAGAGTCAGGCATGACTGAGCGACTTCACTTTCACTTTTCACTTTCATGCATTGGAGAAGGAAATGGCAACCCACTCCAGTGTTCTTGCCTGGCGAATGCCAGGGATGGGGGAGCCTGGTGGGCTGCCGTCTATGTCGTCACACAGAGTCGGACACGACTGACGCAACTTAGCAGCAGCAGCAGCAGACACAGAAGGACTTAGGGAGCCAAGAATCCCCCCAGGTTGGGAGAAGCTGGCTGCCAGGGTGTGAGGCCACCATGCCCTTGTCAGCGCCCCCGTGTGTCCCCATGCCCAGCTGCGTTCACCAGCCTGCCTCTGCCCTTGGAGCTGCCAGTTTGCAGATACACACTGGCTCCCTCAACCTGGGACCCAGAAGTCCCTGGCAGAAGAGAGTCTTTGGCTGGTACCTCCTGGGTCAGCTTCCTGGGCATTTCTCCTGGACTTGGAGAGAAAATGGGGTTGTGCTGAGATGGGAGCTAAAAATAATGAGGACTTGAGATGGCCTCTGAGCAGTGGTTCTCAAAGTGAGGTTCCCAGACCAGCAGCGACAGCAGCCCCAAGGAGCTTGTTAAAAATGTGCACTCTTGGGGTGGGGCCAGTGGGTGACTCTGACAAACATCTAAGATGCTGAACCACAGACCGGCAGTCGTTCTCCAAACATGGGACCCAACGGCTAGTTTTTATAATAAACACTTGGTAATGCCCTATTTGGGCTTCCCAGGTGGCACTAGTGATAAATAACTCGCTGCCAATTCAGGAGATGTAAGAGATGCGAGTTCGATCCCTGAGTCAGGCAGATCCTCTGAAGCAGGGCATGGCAACCCACTCCAGTATTCTTGCCTGGAGAATCCCATGGACAGAGGAGCCTGGCGAGCTACAGTCCATGGGATCACAGAGTCAGGCACAACTGAAGTGACTTAGCATACACAATGCCTTATTGTTATTTGTTGTTCCAAAATGACACTCACAGATAATATAACCTACCTACTTATACACCTAATTCCAAAACAAGTGGCATAATGATTTGAGATAAGTGAAAGTGTCAAAGTGAAAGTTGCTCAGTCATGTCCGACTCTTTGCGACCCCATGCACTATACAGTCCATGAAATTCTCCAGACCAGAATACAGAAGTGGGTAGCCTTTCCCTTCTCCAGGGGATCTTCCCAACCCAGGGATCAAACCCAGGTCTCCCGCATTGCAGGCAGATTCTTTACTGGCTGAGCCACAAGGGAAGCCCACAAATACTGGAATGGGCAGCCTATCCCTTCTCCAGGGGATCTTCCCAACCCAGAAATGGAACTGGGGTCTCCTGCACTGCAGGTGGATTCTTTACCAACTGAGCTATGAGGGAAGCCCCTGATTTGAGATAAAGGGAGAAATAAGATGAAATTATTTATAACCATATACTGTATTTCAACACGTACACGCTTAGGTTCTAGATAGCAACAGCAGAAGACAGCAAAGTTGATCAGGTGTTGGCACTACCAGGGGCTTCTGTTACCTAGGAGGCGTGTTGTGTGGGCAACTTGCATAGCATGGGCATATTTTTTGCCATGGACATGGTTTTAAAATGGTGAACAATTCTTGATAAAGTTCTGAACAAAATCGAATATAATTATTCCTTAGTTTACCTATTTCTATTTCTGTAGAATTCAGTGTATAGTAAAGCCAAGCAGAGAACACTGGTTTTTATGTCCCTGGAGTTAGGCTTTGGGCTCAGATAATTATGGATGCGCTATCACCCATCCAGATGCCTGGGGGACATCCAAGAGGCAGGTAGTCTGGATGGCTGTCCCTCTAGAAGTGCCCTGAGCTCTGAGTCCTAAACCACCCCCCGCCCCCATCTCTGTGACAAGCGTAAGTGCCACCACAGTGTCAGCAGGCTCTCTAGGGAACAGTGCTGCCTGTTGAAAGGCTTCCCTGGTAGCTCAGCTGGTAAAGAATTAGCCCACAATGCGGGAGACCTGGGTTCGATCCCTGGGTTGGGAAGATCCCTTGGAAAAGGGGACGGCTACCCACTCCAGTATTGTGGCCTGGAGAACCCCATGGACAGGAGCTTGGCAGTCCAGGGGGTCGCAAAGAGTCAAACACGACTGAGCGACTTTCACTTTCTGTTGAGACCCTGTGGTTTAGAGTCAACTTCTCAGGTTGCATATGAGAAACTGAGGCCCGGAGAGGCTGAGGGATTCGCCTGGGCCTGGGATGAGTGGCAAGAGTTGGGACTGGGGCTGCCAGGCGGGTGCTCAGCCAGGCTCCTCCCCGCAGCGCCTGAGCGTGCATAACATTATCTACGTGCGGGGCTGCACCAACGCCGTGCTCATCTGGTTCACGGACAACTACACCATCATGGCGGGCCTCCTGCTGGGCATCCTGCTCCCCCAGGTGGGCTGGTCCCCCCTCCACTGGGGAGGGGAGCAGGGGTGGGCTGGGCAGGCTGTGGGCCGGGATGGTGCGTGGCTTGGCGATTACAGAGTGCAGAGCAGGGACGAAACTAGGGTGAAGAGGGCTTGGGTATGCTGGGCTCAGACGGCGAGGGCCGGGGGGCTGGAAAGAGGGCGAATGGCCCAGACAGTGAGTGACACCCACCTCGTGCCTTCTCCTCAGTTCCTGGGAGTACTGCTGACATTCCTGTACATCACCCGGGTGGAGGACATCATCACGGAGCACTCTGTCACCGATGGGCTCCTGGGGCCCGGCGTCAAGCCCGGCGTGGAGGCGGCAGGCACGGGGTGCTGCATGTGTTACCCCATTTAGGGCCGCGGCCTGGGCATCGGCTCCAGGACTGCGACAGGACAGCTCTGCTGAGGCCGCGTCGGGGGGTGGGCGGGGGGCCGGACAGGCCTGTGGCTCCTTCTCCATTCTCGGCACTGACCAAAGCCCCGGCTGTGTCTGCTCAGGGCTCCCAGACTGCTGCGTGTCGGGAGGCAGAGCCACTCCCCAGCTGTGGGACTCTGCCTGCCCACCCTGCTAGGCGTGGGGAACCGGGCGCCCCTTCTCCAGGCTCTGGCCGCTGGGAAGGGGGAGCTCAGTGCTGGGCTTCAGGTCCACTTCATTTCTGGTAGTGCCTTGGCCTTGGGGTTTGGGCCCTTGAAGGCAGTTTTGTACTGACTTGTAACCAGGGAGCGAGGAGAAACACGTGCCCGGTGGTGAAGGAGGGGAGGGGTGCAGTCCCTGGCCCCCTGTCCTTCAGCCTCACTGCTGAGGCCTGGGTGGGCCTGTTTCTCAGCCTCCCAGGTGCCTTGAGCCCTCCCCAGGGCTGCTGCTTTGCTGAACTGTTTTTTTACATGATTTTTGTAGCATTCATTTTGTACACAGTTAATAGGACTTTCCGACTAATCAAAGCTGGATGTTCCCCACCCCCTTACAGTCTTCCCTCTCTAAGCCAGTTCATTAATCAGACAGTAAAGATGTGATTTTTTTTTTTTCTTCTGGTTTTTCATTTGTGCTGTTTGGGTCAAGGGTGGGTGAAGAAAACCTCAGGTTGGGCTTGGAAGTCCCTCATTGGTGCAAAGATTGAAGGGGGGCCATCCTGGGGCCAAGATTTGGGACAGTAGGAGACACTGAGGCTGGGAGGAGGGAGGATCACCCAGGCCCCCTGCTCCTTGCTTGGAAACACTTCTCCCATCCTTTGGTATTGCTGTTTCAGGAAATGGCTTTTCCCAGCTGTGCTTGTGGGCAGGGCATGGAGCCTCTCCTGCCTGTCATTCCTGCTAAGAATTCACTGTGGGACCTCAGGGAAAGAGGCAGTGATGACAACCTCTTTTACAGACTGGGAAACTGAGGCCAGGCCACCGTGGTATGAGTCTCCACTTCCAGGAAGTAGAACAGATTGGAACTAGGAAAGTCAGGAGCCCAGGAGGGAGCAGTGCCCACAAATCCGCCTGTGGCCACTGGGCTATGGAACTAAAATGATTCTCCTGCTGTAAATAGTCCATTGTTCCCAGGACCTGGGGTGGGGCTGGACATTGCGCATCATTAGCAAAGGGTGGTGGGTGCTGGTCGCCCCCTGCTGGAGATGGCAGGACCTGCATGGATCCGTCCGCCCAAGCCTTCCTGCCCCAAAACCTGGGTTCTAGATTTCCTCTGAGGTTCTTAGTAGCCAGAGCAATAGAAATAAACAGCATGAGCCCCAAACCTGAAGAAATCAGTTTAAGAGTGTTAAGGGAACTGCCCATCACACCCAGCACTTACATAGTGGCCATATGTACAAGCCTGCATTGTCTGACATGTGGGAAAGGGCAGAAGAGGACTGTTTTTTTTTTAAAAGGATAGAATAATAAGAAGCACATCAGTGAGCACATTCTGTCTCAGAAACCTGTCTAAACACAGATATCAACTCCTTTCACCCTTACAGCTATGTGTGTTAACTCTTCTTATCTCCATTTTATTGATGGAGAAACTGAGACATGTTGTGGTTAAGTAACTTGCCCAAGGCACACTCTGGTAAGTGTCAAAGCTATGACATAAACCTGGGTGGAATCTCCCTTGCACTCAGCCTCCCTGTTCCACTGCCTGCATTGCCTTGTGTGGACACGTGGTACCAGGCATAAGAAACCAGTGACAGTTGCTACTACAGCTGTCTCCAGGGGCTGGTGATTGCAGAAACTGCTGCAGTCTCTGCCTGGTCCCCATTCTGGCCAGTGCACACAAGACCAGGTCAAACTCTGTGGCTGGAGGCCTCATGGCTGCTCTCCGAGGATTCTCTTTGTGCTCAGAGGGGGTGGCAGCTGCCTCGGGGACAGCAAGATGGCAGAGGAACTGAGGAGGTTGGGACAGCACAGAGTCTGCTTATCCAAAGTCACGTTACCCTGGTACTTGTAAACTTCTGGTGACCTCATCCTCCCTCTCTTCACCACTGCTCACCATCACCCCCAGCTCCCACTGTTGCTTCTGTGGATCAGGGATCATAGATTGGTGCCCACAGGTGGCTGAGCTGCTGTGGACACTTAGCTCTTCTTTTTCTTCCAAACCTCACGTCTCCAGAAAGCAGACAGAAGCCGCAGAGAGGACTTTTTCAGTCCTGTGGTTGGGGTGCCCCTGATTTGCATCCTTCGTGCTTCCAAAGCAGTAACATCATCCTGACCTCTCATCACACAAGGATGGAAGAATGACCTTCAGAATGAGTCCTTTTCCTTCACCATGGCACACAGACAAAATGACGACCTTAATTCAGCCTGCAATATCTGTGAAGCTGGGGGAGATTTGTAGGCTTTGATTTTTTACTTTGTTGTTGTAATATATTTATAAGAAAAAACAATAAAATGCACTAAGGAAGATTGGGTTTGTATAAAAATTGAAAATACAATATTCTCCAAACTTATTTTTAACATTGTATTGAGTTATATTCAACCTAAAATAAACCACACATGTTTCAAGTGACAAATATATCACTAATGAAACCATCACCACAATCAAGATAATGAACAAACCTATCATGCTGAAAAATCTCCTCTTGCCCTTGGTGATACTTTCCTTATAGCCCTCCTTACCACCTCCTATCCCATCTCCAGGCGACTTTGCATCAACTTTCTGTCTTTATAAACTATTTTATATTTTCCAAAATTTTATATAATGGATTCATACAGCACAGACTTTTCTTTTTGTCTGCTTTTATTTTTGCTCAGCATAATTATTTTGAATTTTATCCATTTTGTGGCATAAATCGGTAGTCCGTTCCTTTATATTGCTGAGTAGTATTTCTTTGTGTGGCTATGCCATAGCTTATCCATTCATCGACTGATGGACATTGGTATTGTTTCCAGTTTTTGTCTGTTAATCCAAAAAAACTGCTATAACCATTCATGTACCTGTCTTCATATACATATATACTTTCATTTCCCTTGGGTAAATATCTCAGAGGGGAATAGCTAGATCATATGCTAAGTGTATGTGTAGGTTTATAGGAAACTGCCAAAATGTAGTCCAAAGTGATTGCTTGATTTTATATCCCCACCACAGTGTAGAGTCACAGTTCCTCTACCTCCTTGCCAGTATTTGGTATGGCCAGTCTTTTAAATTTTGGTCATTCTAATGGATGTGTGATGGTAAATCATTGTGGGCTTATTTTGCATTTCCTTTTCTGTCTATATGTATATAAACTGAAGCATAGTTGGTTTACAATATTGTGTTAGTTTTGGGCATACAGCACAGTTACACATATATATCTGATAATATAGTATAATATAAATATATTATTTTTCAAATCCTTTCCCCTTACAGGTTATTACAAAAATTATTGGGTAGCATTTCCTGTGCTATACAATAGGTCCTTGTTGATTAGATGTTTTATATATAATAGTGTGTGTATGTTAATCCCAACCTCCTAATTTATCCTTCCTTCCCCCACCCCCCATCTTTGAGAAAATGACTCCTTCTTTGGGTGACTTCCCTCCACGCAGAGCGTTATTTAAGTAACAACTGCCTCTTTTTCATGTTTGTTATTCACCAGTCTGTGCTCATCTCTTCACCTGTAATAAAGGTGTATAATAGCCATGCTATGGAAAGGGGGATTGGGGTCAGAAGGGTTGAGGAACATGTCTAGGGTTCCCCATCTAGTAAGTGGTACTGCCAGGGTTTGAAAACATGTGTGAGCCTGGCATTGGAAATCCTACCTATCATTCTGGCCTCATCCCTGACCCTTGCTGCCATCAGCAGGTCCCTGGACTCACCCCGTTCATTCTTAACTCACATGGTTCTACCTATCGTCTCACCAGAAAGATCCAGCTCTCAACTCTCCCATATTCCCTCTCCCCATTTTCTTAGTGTCTCACTTCAATTCTGTGTGCTCAGTTCAGTTCAATCACTCAGTCGTGTCTGACTCTTTGCGACCCCATGACTGCAGCACACCAGGCTTCCCTGTCCATCACCAACTCCCAAAGCGTGCTCAAACTAATGTCCGTAGAGTCAGTGATGCCATCCAACCATCTCATCCTCTGTCATCCCCTTCTCCTCCTGCCTTCAACCTTTCCCAGCATCAGGGGCTTTTCCAACGAATCAGTTCTTCACATCAGGCGGCCAAAGTATTGGAGTTTCAGCTTCAGCATCAGTCCTTCCAATGAATATTCAGGACTAATTTCCTTTAGGATGGACTGGTTGGGTCTCCTTGCAGTCCAAGGGACTCTGAAGAGTCTTCTTCAACACCACAATTCAAAGCATCAGTTCTTTGGCGCTCAGCTTTCTTTATAGTCCCAACTCTCACATCCATACACATGACTACTGGAAAAACCATAGCTTTGACTAGATGGACCTTTGTTGCCAAAGTAGTGTCTCTGCTTTTTAATATGCCGTCTATGTTGGCCATAGCTTTTCTTCCAAAGAGCAAAGTGTCTTTTTAATTTCATGGCTGCAGTTACCATCTGCAGTGATTTTGGAGCCCAAGAAAATAAAGTCTGTCACTGTTTCCATTGTTTCCCCATCTATTTGCCATGAAATGATGAGACCAGATGCCACATGTCTGGAAAGACTTATTTTTATGGTTACCTCTTCTGCAGATGGAGAAAACTGAGGCCAGGCTAGTAAATTGTATACCAAGTGCCTTCACCAGCACCCCCAGAACCTGGCTCCTTCCATGCCCCCTACCCTGCCTACCACCCCCCTGGAGCCTGGGACCTGCGCAGTAATAAGGGGTTGATGGCTCTGGTGCCCAGGCCCTAGTTTCCCACAGTCTGAGCCCTGGGAGAGAGACTGATTTGCAATCCTGAGCGCCCAGGAAGGCAAAAAGCACGTCTCCTGGCAGGCGCATATTGCCACTAGGT